CCCCCCGCCAGATCCCCTGGGGATGGAGCTCGGTGAGTCTGGTTTGGGGGTGCCGGGTGGCCCCGGGGCGTCATGTGCCAGGCTCCCCCTGACCCCATCTCTCTCTCTCTCTCCCCTTGCAGGTCTGGGGCAGGACGCTGGGGGGCAGCCCCCCAGCCCGGAGCCCCTGGGCGCCTGCCCCCCACGCTGCCCCTGCGGCTGCCACCGGCGCCGGCCTGGCATGGTGCTAGTGTGGGTGCTGGCGCCCGAGGGGGAGGAGCCAGGCTCGGACGGCTCCGCCTCCACTGATGAGGAGGGCCCCCTCTTCCGGCACCTGCTGGAGGTCACCACCCCCACCCCCCAATCCCGCTGGTCCCCCCTCCAGCCTCCCGCCCCGCCCCCCGAGGACGGCAGCGTGGTCCTGACCAGCTACCGCTCCACTGCCCAGCTCAACGGGGGCCCGGCGCGGGCCAAGCCCCCACGCCGGGCCAAGGGGGGGGGTGCCCCAGGCGGACCAGGCCCCCCCCCGGCTGTGCCCCCCAAGACCCCAGGGAAGCCACTGCGCAGGGCCCTGGACCCCCAGCCTCCTGCCCCAGCCCCCCCAAGCCCCTCCAATCCCTGCCAAACCGTGCCCCCCACTCCCACCTGTCCAGGCCCCCCATGACCCCCCAATTGCTGCCAAACTCGTGCCCCACGGCCCCGCCTGCCCTGCCCCCCCATGACCTCCCAATCACTGCCAAACCGTGCCCCACGGCCCCGCCTGCCCTGCCCCCCCATGACCTCCCAATCGCTGCCAAACCGTGCCCCACGGCCCCGCCTGCCCTGCCCCCCCACGACGCCCCAGTCCCTGCCAAGACATGTTCTCTACCGCCGCCCCCTACCCAGCCCCCTCCCTGCCCCCCCACCCAGGATCCCCTGCCCCCCGCCAAGCTCTGCCGTCCCCTCCCGCCCCCCTCTTCCCAGCCTCCCCCTCCCCCGCAGAAGGAGGGCGCCCCGGCGCGGGAGAATGGACCCTGCCAAGGTACGGGTCGCGGGCGCCCTATGGGAAGGGGGTGGGCGTAGGATCCGGGTGGGGGGTGCCGACTGAAGGGGGTGTGTGTGGGATCGGGGTTCCCCAGGCGGGGCTGGCTGGGGAGGAGGGGATCAGGGTTTCCCAGGGGTGTGTGGGATGGGGGTCGGGAGGGTCGGGGGGCAGGCTGGGGGGTCGGGGTGTGTGGGATGGGAGTTGGGGGGGCAGGCTCCCCAACCCCCCGACACCACGCTCTGTATCCCCAGGAGACTCCGATGGCCACAGTCTGGAGCCAGAGCCGCCGAGGGACAGGTCAGTGTCCCCACAGCCCCCCATCTGTCCATCTGCTCTCCAGCCCCCCTGTTGGTCTGTCCCCCGAGCCTCTCCATCTGTCTGTCCCCCAGACTCCCTGTTTGTCCATCTGTCCCCCCCCACAGCCCCTCTGTTTGTCCGTCTGTCCCCCCCACCGCCTCTCCATCCGTCTGCCCCCCAGTCCCCCGTTTATCTGCTCCCCTGCAGCCCCCCATCTGTCGGTGGCGCTCTGACCTTGCTCCCCCTCCCCCCACAGGTGCTGCCCGTCCCCGAAGGGCCCCGGCTGGGGGCTGCCCCTGCAGGATGGTAGGGGGGGCCGTGCCCGGGGGGGCGCTGGGGGAGGGGGGAAGGAGGGGCTGTGGGGTGGATGGAGAGGCCCTGCAGGAGGGGACGGGATGGGACGGACACCTGGGTATGGGGGGGGGATTGGGGCCCCAGGGTGGGAAGGGTGGTGTAGGAGACTGGGGGAGCGAATGGGGGGCAGCCCCCCGTCTCCCCCTGACCCCGTCTCCCCCCAGAGCCCCTGTACCAGACGTACCGCCAGGCCGTCATCCGCAAGGAGCTGCACCGCCAGACCCTGCCCCGCAGCGCCAGCCTGACCAGCTGGGACGGGGACCCGGCCCCCCGGCCCCCCCCAGCGCCCCGGCCCTCCAAAGCACCCTCTGGCAGGACCTGCCGGCCGTGCGGGAGAGCGGCCTGCTCCGGCGCCTCAGCCCCCAGGAGTGCAAGATGCAGGAGGTGGGTTGGGCCGCCCGGTTCCTCCTGACCCTGGTTCCTCCTGCCCTCCTGATTCCCCTGTCCCCCCAGTGCCGTGTCCCCCT